ATTGAGGCATGGTTTATTTATACCTTTTTGAAGGGAGGAGGAGTTTATCCTTTCAAAATAAAAAAAAAACATCCAAATCAGGACAGCAAAAAGTTCATCCCAAGTCAGATAAAATAATCAATAACACATCTTAATGATTGATCACTAAGATTTTTATTGTTAAAATAAGAAATAATAATGACGAAAAATAATGCATAATTGTATTTATGTGAAGCACTTGTGAAGTATTTATTTTGTTAAACTAATTCCAAACTGTACACTAAGGATATAAGCTGTGCTTTTATCTGTACGTTTCTGATAGTGATTTTGCTGACGTAAATTAGACATAAAGAACAAAACAGTGAATGGATAGTTGTCAATCAAAATAAAAACAAATACTATTTTATAGTTTAAANTATGACATGTTATCAGGCATGAAGGTCTAGTCAGAGACATATGAGAGATAAAAACAGGAGTTAAGAGGAGTAGAAGTAGACCTAAATTAGATTACTGTTCGCAAATAGTTAAGTATGTGGGATGTTCTAATTTTAGTGAAAAATGCAAAGATTAGCTCAGGATAGGAAACAGTGGCGGCGCGTGTTCAACCAGTCTTAGGACTGACGACCTTATGATGATGACGTAACACAGCTAAATATGAATTAAATTAGATACCTTTTATAATGTGTAATGATGTAATGTATGATACTAAGAAGGAAACAAGATTCTTCAAAACAGCATCCTTAGGTATAATTATATCTTTGTCAGAAGCCATTTCTCAGATTGGTGTCATTTTAAGTTCCTTTTCAGATAAAAACAGTTAGACAGTAGGCACGATATGCTGTCATGTCCTTTATTTCTTTTGATAAAACTTCTGAGACCGATTTAGGGAACAAATTATCTTCAAATCTTCGGTCACAAACTAATGCATCTTTTCTTCAGCAGTTAGTATAACGATTACTATAAAACGGATCTAAATTCAACACTTGTCTTAACATTATTGTTGTTTGTTGAACTTGTGTACATGTGTAGTTCATTTAACCATTTCATCATTTTATGTCAAAAACTGTTATTTTCGGCATGGGTCGTAGGTCCATGTAAAAGTCTTTGTCCCAGATTTTTTAAATTTGACAAAAAAACTCAATGCTTCATCATAACCTTATGTGACCACTAATATACCAAACAATTTCGATTATAAGATTAATCGAATCCTACACCTGACATTTCCCAGTATTGTCCAGTTTTGTAGAAACTCCTCTGCATCGTTCACCTTAATAGGACAAGAAAGGTTGTTCCCGGTGCAAATCTTGTAGTAAAATTTTGAAAATTTCATTTCTGCCATTTCATTCTTATCTTGATAATATCAGTTTAGGTACTTTAAAAACGGAAAATGAAGGATCGATAAGATACCACGCAAGTTTTTCACAATTTTCTTGTTGAGAGGAGTCCACCATTCGCGTTCGAGAAAATAATCGAAGATACTCGTTATCAAATATTCTTTGATAAAATCTCATTAAAATGAATATAAGTAAATTGTCTTTTATGAAAACTTCTAATAGTCTTCATCGTTGTGACAACTGTCCAGTGTACTGTGTGTGTTTTTCTTTGTGCACTTTCGTTGTTTTCGTCTTTTTGTAAATTTAGCGCCCGTAAGTAGTTTCATTTATTATGAAAAAATACAGTAGTAAATAAATTTAAAAAAAAATAAGCAAGATTAAGTTCATGGTCAGTTATTTAAAACGTTCTAAATAGTTCTCATCAGCACGCCATAATATCTAAGTATAAGCAGTATATCGTCATCTACAGCTACTAACTGCAGTATTTGAAAATGTTTGATAAGGGCTTTATAAAAATATCTACCTGTCAAATTGAATCTGCGACGCACCTTACATACGTGTTAATTAATAATTTAGTAATAATTATTAAATTAAACTACTAATGTTAGCTACTGTCCGCGTGGAAATGAATTATACCTATCTCAGACCACATTTCAAAAAAAAAATTTCAAGTTTTCTGGATTATTTATTTATATACATTATCGGTCTGAGATGTATTTTGATTCGACATTGCTAAATCCAACTGACCAAGTTTTGAAGTAGGTAGTTTCACTGCGGCTAGTTAAGACTGTCAAGAAATTCGGGGTAGTCGAGCCTTATTATTGTTTTTCAACCGTCTAATTGTACAAGGGTTATGAAAATTAAAAAAAGAAATTATTTCGTAATTATCGTTCATTACATTAGGTTAGGATGGGTAACAGCTATCCCTCTCTACAAACTATATTATTAAGTATTTAAATTTATACTTTTGTAAAGAAGAATACCGAGCGGAGTGGCCTAGGGGTTTAGATTATTGTTTAGCATTCGCTTCGATTCCGAGTCCGTTAACCCTGGTCCATAATACTACAACTTCTTTTATAAAATTCGCTCTTCCGTGTGCTAAAAATGAAACCGTTTCGCGCATGTCGTCACTATGTGACAAACGTATTTTCTAGTGTGGCGATGTTTAGGTCCACCATCCACAAAAGGGGTTAATAAAATAAGTCAAAAAAGGATAATGAAAATACTCAAATAATGAAACTCAAAAAGTATACGAAAAACATATAATTTACACTTTACAATTATAAATATAAAAGAAGGACACAGTTATAGGTATAGCAACTATTTTAAAAATAATAAATGCAACTAATTTACAATATATTAGAATAATAACTAACGTAAAGAACACAGTTACAAAGTGATTATTAATTGTTTAATTATTTATTATTATTAAGAATAATTTGCAATATACAACAAAATATTTAAACATTAAATTATTAAAATTGTTTTCTGAAGGAGATAGGTATTTAGAATCAATTATTTAGTCATTTTGTCCACCTTTTCTTTCGTTAAAATTGGCGTCGTTCGCTGCCCTTTCCCCCCCTTCGGGCCTGTATAGATCATCCAGTTTGTATTATGTTCAGCGGTTTTCGAAATAGAAAAACTGTAGCTGAAAAGTTAACTTGATCTTTATGAAATAGATAGATATAANGTTTAATTATAAACTTGACATTTATCATCCTGTTCTGAGATTGCATGGTACTGTAAATATCACATCAGTAAAAATATAAAAATCAATATTTCTAAACGCCTCTACATATATGTATGTATGTAGGTGTTTGTTTAATTTCTTTTTAAAAACTATTTAAAATTATTAAATCGTTATGTTTTATGAATATGATTCAAGGCAATAGAGGGGGATAATGTCTTAATTGATTATAGAACCGACACCAACGTTTCGCCTCTTGTTGGGTACCTTTATCAAGGCTAGAATATGTATGAATGATAATTGTACAGAGTTTAAATGTAGAATTAGTTCTATAACCGATAAAGACATTATCGCCCTCTTTTGTTCACATTAGAAATAAATTCATATTCCAACATTTTGTAAACAATATTAACAATCAGTTTGAACGTAAAGTTGTTTAATTTTAATAAATTTAAATTAAACTAAACGCATTGAAACGTTTCAAAAATTGTACTGTACTATTGCAAATGGAGTTGTTTTTAAATACAATTTTAATCCGTTTGATTTAATTTAAATCAAACTTATCATCAAAATGCTTCAGATATAGCCATTATAAGATATACGTATTACGTATTATTAAAGGTTTTCATTTTAAAACGCAAAAGCTTATGAAATTATCATAGCATAAATATTTACCAAGTAGCGATTGCGGGGGCATTGTTTCTAGGGTGCCAATAATAAAATATTTAATCGGGTATAGCTGTCTCGGCAATTAATATTTATAAATGACGACAGTCAGTATTATTTTGTCCATTTTTTATGAGAAAATAGTTGTATCTGTACAGCGTATAGGTACTAACTTTAATTTTTATTTTCATGCTACCTGCTACTTAGTAGATACTAATAAAATTTATTTTACGAGTGGCATAAAGATATGCTGTCAATCACAGACTTTAGGTAGTGTTATTGATAAGTAACTTATAAATTGAAAATTGTGGCTCAGTCGCAAATGATAACATACATATTTCACGAGATAGGAAATATTTTTAAGTCGTTTTTTGTACACTTGTTCTTTATTAATTTGATTAATACCTTTGTATATTCTATCGTTCAACCTTAAGGTGACGCAAGTACAGTATTTATTGCTACTTTCAAGTACACGATCGATAAAACAATTTTGGAAACTACTTCGTCATTTATTTTTTATAAATATCAAATTACCGAAATATTTTATTCCATTTTTAGTAAGTACCTGCTGATACTACTTCGTTGCTAGGCATCTTACTATATCATTAATAAATGTGAATAAACAAATGAAGTCATAAAGGATAACTATTACATGATCGAATAATATCGTTGCGTTTATAAAATACTGCTATCCGTTGTTAATTTAATTAATGCTAATTTCTAAATAAAAACATTCGGTTGCCAATATGGCGCACTATTTATTTAACATAAAATTCTGGAATGGCAGTCATTAAAATTTCAACCGAGAATTGTATTGCTTTTCACTTTATCGAGCGGCTTCTCGTCATAAATGAATCGCTAAATTATAGAGGGAACGGTTTAGAGATTTTCAGACTTGACAGTAAGTTCCCGTAAAAATGGGGAATTTACGTAAAAAGCAATTTACTAATGAATGGTTACATTATAATGCGTATACACTTAAATTGAGTTGTGAAAAATAACTTTCCAGTACATATTGAATTTGATTGTGTAAAATTTTTGTGAAATTTTGAACTGAGGATGGCCTTAAGATCCTTTCGGTTACATAAGCAAGACGACTCCCTTTTTTTCCCGAAAAAATAGCTTCTTCGTATGGTTAGTTTGATCTCCCGAAAATAATTTTTAGCGAGAAGTTTCAACTATTCGGATATTTTGCTCCGGCAGTTTCACATCATCATAAATAGGCACAATACATAATTTAA